TTGTGACCTCCCCCACTTTGCCTATGGGGGTGTGTCAGAAAATGATAGCTTATGCTTTTGTGTAGGCTGTAGTGGGGTACGCCGTATGGGGTACAACCCAATCAGGGTTAGTACTTGTACCCAACTCTTTCATAGTGCATCCATTCTCGTTCTAGTTTTCTCAACGGGGCCGCAAGGGGCGGCGACCGGGCCGCTGGAGGCGGCGACGGGGTCGATAGGGGCGGCGACGGGGCCGCGAAGGGGCCACGAGGGGCCTAGAAGGGCGGCGACGGGCCGCTAGGGGCGGAGAACGGGGCCGCGAAGGGGCCGCGAGGGGCCTGGAAGGGCGGCAACGGGGCCGCGAAGGGGCCGCGAGGGGCCGAGAAGGGCGGCGACGGGGCCGCGAGGGGTGGCGACGGGGCCGCTAAGGGTCGCGCGAGGGGCCGTGAGAGGGGCCTCTAGGAGGTGCTCGAAAAGAGGGCAGCCGACGGGAAGAAATTTTTTGTCGCACGCCACTGGGCGTGCAGCACACAGAGTAGCAGCGGAAGCAGTTACGTGGGCTCACAAGCTAGGAGCGTAGATGCTCTGATAGCATGTGAAGAGTGAGGAATGAAGAAGAGAGGGGTTGCACTAGCAGCAGTTGGCATACATATAGGAAACCCTAATTGGGTTGTACTCGCTATAGAGTACCCCACTGCAGGCTAGACAATTATAACATCCTGACAGGTTTTCCTGAATTGACCTCTCAGGTTTCTGCAGCGGTTAATGTATGGTCCGGCCTTTTCACCGGGGAACATTTTGACGTTGTTCGGCTGTTTGAGCAGGCGACTAATTATCACCGAGTCTGTTGCCATGTCGCAGGTGCGCATGTGTCCCCAGGATTGTTGCGCGGATGCCCACCCGTTCTTGAAGGGGCGAATGCTTAGCTGTTCTTCAGGCGACAGGTTTCGGATCAAGACGGTGAATGCCAGGAGTGATTCGTTGTAGTACTGCGTCTTCTCCTGAGATGAGCCGTTAGTCGGGATTGCGTACGACCCATCATAGTACATCCAGATCTATGCGCCTTGAGTTAGGAGCTCGAACTTGAAACTCCAGGTCTAAAAGTCCTCCCGTCGAAAGGCTTGGTAGTCCTGAGCTTTGCAGTTGAGAGGAGCTTGCTCTGCATTGATGCCATTGCTTCGTAATGCGATTGTTGTGCTTGTTTTTTTCTTGAGCTCCGCGATTGTCGAAGGTGAAGGATTGCTCGGACTTAGGTTCTTGAGAATCGGGAGGTCTTTGGGCGTAGCTAGTGCCGTCGATGCTCATCGGCTGGTGGCTCTCCAGGGCGCTGATGCGGGATATTAGCTACTCGAGGAGCGCTGAATCCACGGTCGTTATTGCAGAAGCGACATTTGTGGAGGGTGTGAAAGTTTAGAAGAAAGAAGAGGGTTGCACTAGCAAGAATGGGGATACAAATAGCAAACCCTAGAAGGGTTGTACTCGCTATAGAGCACCCCACTACAAGCTAGAGCATAAGATAACATTCTGACACACCCCCATAGCCAAAGTGGGGTGTAATCAGTAGAGCAAGCAAAGCAGTACAAGTTCAGGGTGGATCACAATGTCACCACACATTCTGAGCACAAGTTCAAGAAGCAATAGTTTAAAGTTCACAATTATGAGCAAAGCTAGTGGTAGACACAACGGGCAAGTGAGGAGGAGGAGAGGGAGTGAGAGGAGAGGAGATAGGAGGCGACGGATGAAGCTGCAGACACACGGGCAACAGGAGGCACACTGGCACAGCGGCTACCGGAACAACGCTCCGGAATACTGGAGTAACTGGCCCCGCGGCTAAAGTAGCGGCAGACGAGCAACGGACCCACGGGCGGCTGGCACAGCTGGCTACGACTGGGCTATCGGACGAAGTCCCCGGAATACAGGTGCTGCTGGCGACACGACGGCAACCTCCATTCAGCTTCCCCAAACTATCCCACTCCCCCCTGGCACACACCCGCTGCTACCCGCTAGCTCCACTCCCCCTTCACCCCCCCATAGTACCACTCCACCGGCTCCAACACGTCCACCCCCCCTCATCGACAGCTGCAGCACAGAGAGACGGAGGAGGAGGAGGAGCAGGGGAGACCACACACCCGCCACCCCCCGAAGGAGCCGCGACGGGCGACGGGAAAAGGGGGGGGGGGGGGGGGTGTGCACGTGCCGTAGGTAGGGCGACGTCGCCGGGGTCGCAGGTGGGGCGTCGGGGCCGGGGTCGCAGGCAGGGCGACGGGGCCGGGGCGCAGGTAGGGCGACGGGGCCGGGGCCGTAGGTAAGGAGACGGGGTGCGACGCGCGGGTCCCCGTCGTCCGTCGCAGCGCCTCCCGGGGGCGACGCGCCGAGTGACGGGGCAGAAACCCGTCGCGCGCCTCGGGGCGCACGGCGGGCAGAAAACCGCCGCGCGCCTCGGGGCGCACGGCGGGCAGAGAACCGCCGCGCGCCTCGGGGCGCACGGCGGGAAGAGAACCGCCGCGCGCCTCGGGGCGCACGGCGGGAAGAAAAAACTGCCGCACGCCACGGGGCGTGCGGCACAGAGAGTAGCAGTAGTAGTTGCAGCGGAAGCAACGAGGTGGTGAGCCCACCCACAGGATCGATCCAAGGGGATCGACCTGCTCTGATAGCATGTGAAAGTTTAGAAGAAAGAATACGGTTGCACTAGCAAGAATGGGGATACAAATAGCAAACCCTAGAAGGGTTGTACTCGCTATAGAGCACCCCACTACAGGCTAGAGCATAAGATAACATTCTGACAGAGGAAAGTACTGGAGTTTCTCCAACCGCTCCGCAGATTGCGTCTGGCATGACTTGCCCTTTGGTGTAAGATAAGTTGTAATGAATCGTTTTTTTAAGCCTTTTAGCAGTTCCTGTAATCCAAACTAGCTCTCATACCATGTTAGAGGAAGGATCTTGGATAGGATAGGAATGCTTTAGAGAGTTTGGTAGCGGAAGTCTTGTAGTAGGAACTCTGATCGTAGTGAATGTAAATGACAAAGTTGATTAAAACATAAATTACAGATACAATAAATAGATCTAGCTAGCCATATATTCTTAGGGGTACATTCCCTTATTCTAAGGGTCCATTCCGCTGTGGACACTTTCTCAAAGAAAGTGTCTGAATCACTTTTGGCCCGAGTCGCCCTCAAATGTCTCGGAACTTCATGTCCCAATCGATCGATGTATTGCGACCAACGGCGACATCGCGACAATTTTGTGTGAAGGAATGTGATTGGTCCGTTGTGTGAGTTGCCCACTCAACCTGCGCGTCACACGCACCTGGGCGGAAGGTCTGCGGGCACGAAATGAGCGGGATGGTCAATAATTCGGAAGGAGCTTTGTGTGGCCAATCACGTTTCAGAGTATGCGTAGCTACTGAAATCCGTTACTTAATAATGATGACCAGGTACATTCAGCATGGATTGACATTTGGCACTGCGTGCGATGGCTGGTGTGTGTTGAGTTGGCGTTCAATTAGCCCGCGACAGTTCCGCGTTTCACGCCACCCAATGAAAAATACTTTTTGCGACAAAGAAGAGCGGTCCGGAATTCGGACACGTGGCAGCATATGCTGTAAGTACGCGTCACAATCGATCCATACACGTTCTTTGAGAAAGTGTCCAGAGCGGAATGTACCCTAACTGCTTTTCAGGCAATTCTATAATAACTCTAACCTTTGCACCACTTCTTGTTACCGAGTCGCTGCGTGCAACCATACAGACGATTACGCCTGTTGCCATTCCTTGATGGTGAGTCAATCGTCGGTCCAGATGGTCAACAGTCGCGACAGTTGACTCTTGCAACTTTCGACCTTCCTGCCTTTGATACGGGCTGATCTGATACTGCTGCTAGCGCTGCTTCGATAATGACGGGTGCGATACAGCTGCACCTACGGGAATGCTAAGCTCAATTCCATTCATACTCCAACAATTGTTCTGACGATATTATATGCTTAATTAAATATAATGGAAAGGTGAAGTTCTTATGTGGAGCTGGTTTTTTCACCAGCTATTATTTAGTGTATGGGCTTAAGCTATTGGTCACGTGTACCAGCTTTCTTTATCACGAGATCCGCCCCCGTGACTAACGGAGGTCACGACTGGCTTTGGGTTGGAGCCTCCAATCATTATTGCTGCCAGGCATGAATTACTGTACTGTATAACGCTGGCCGAACCGCCCCTCTATCACGAGTCGCAATGCAGTTTCCAAACACCATGCCGATTATTGGATCCCCTCCCACCCCACCAACCACCAGCCTCAGCCCCGCCGACGTGTGGGATCCACGGTAACTGACCTGAACCCACTTTCGGGGCAAACCGAACATGAGGGCGGACTCGGAGGAGAGAGAGCACGGATAGCCATGGCGACCAGCCGCATGGTAGTCTGTGTGTGAGGGAGAGGGGGGGACGGTGGGTTTGGGTTAGAATTTAACACAGGAGCGGCTTGAGAAACATCCGAGCCCACCTGAAACCCAATCAGATGCCTAAAATCCGCTCCAAACGTTCCCAGTATCAGCGTAATTCACTGGACCGACACCCACTCGAGTAAATTGTCATTCGACCGGGTTATTGACCTGTTTGATTAGGCTTCGAACCTCTGCATCTCTCCTCCCGACTGAAGCTAGAAGATATGGTGATTTGCAATGAGGCAACGTGAGCTGCAAAGTCGATGCGCGCAGAGAAGTTTGAGAAAACAAATTAACAGCAGTCTAAAGGCTTCGTCCCTACATAGTACGGAAGGTCTGCAGACAACAAGAACTCTAGAGACTGTTTATCGCTATATGGTTTACCACGTGAACCTGTGATCTTGTTTGTTGGTAGGCCTCATACGGAAGGATCTGATCCAATCTCAAAAGTCCACCTTTCTGTCTCCTACAAGGTTTCTCTCGGCTCCTTAACAACAGAAATTATTTTCTGTCTCCCAGGTTTTGCTAAGCTCTTTCGCTGTCCTTGAACGCGGATTTTACCGCGCAACCGAGGCGCATGTCGTTCTCAATGTGGCCTTTAGGATTGTCATTGCTCCTGCTTCAAGGCTTGCCATGCAACGATGCGGCGTGGTATTACACGAGTGCTGGTGGACACGAGTTCAATTACGGTAGGCGCATGTTGAACTCGATTTGTTCATATCATTTTACTTGATAGCATCTCGTTTCCCGAGTCCGTGCACCTTTCACTTACCAGCGTTTACCTTTACATCACCCTAACGGTACGTGATCATATATCTATCTTAATCCGACTTGCTCCGTAAGAAAAGGTCGTACAGGCTCGCGCGGTCTATTTCTCTTTTCTATTTACTGTTTTCCCACACCATTGCGCAGGTTATGGGCTGGCAGACCTTCCATGGTGGAGAATCGCGCTTCTTGTCGTCGCGTCCGTCGCATGCGTTACGCTTATTGTGCTCGTCGGCTACCGCTTCTGTTACGTACAGAAAGAAACCGACGAGGAAGTTGTCGAAGGTGGGGGAGTGAAGGTGCACGTCTTTCCGCGCGTCATGAAGGAGACCCAAGCTCCTCCCGCGAGTAATGCTGTGTAGAAAATGGATAGTACACAGACATCGACATCATGTATGGCGGACATGAAAGGGGACAAACTGCATGCCTGGTCGTGGAAAGGGGAGGGCTGGGTGAGGGGCATTAGTGCAATGTGTTTTTGTGTGGGACGGTTGGTGCACGGTATTGAGGGTAGCGTGGCAGAGGAATGTCATGTGTCTGAGGTGAACACAGATCTCGCGTGGAGTGTGCTCAAGTGTACAGCTACGTCTGCTATGGGATGGGCTCAATGGGACATAATCGACATCTCCAAACCAAATATGTCGTCTAGGCTGGCTTATGCTCATTGGGACGCCCTTTGTCTATTCAGTTTTATACTCTGTCAGGGCTCGGTTTGTCTGAAAGATGGGAACGTTGGGCAGCTTATTATTGTACCATCAGATTCAGCATTCCTTCCTTGGAAACATATTGTGGTTGGCTGGGGTTGTCTGAATGATTCCTCAATCCGTGGGGGATGGACTGGACAGGCTAGGATAACAGGATAATGGGTTGGTTTGGGATAATGAGTTCCATTCTATGGTTATGCATAACCCTCATAGGGCCTCTCTTGTAATATACTAGAATAATCATCTGATGTATGAGCCCTCACGAACACCAGATTTTCTGTTTTGTTTTTCAGTTTAGTAGCATTTATTACCAGGCATACCGTAACTACATTTTCTCCCTATTTTGAACTTCTTGAGAATCGTTTTATTCTTCCCTTTCAAAGGATTGTGACTTGCCCTTGATCCTTACTGTTATCTTATGTGATTGCATTTCATATCCACCTTCTTAGAGACTAGGCAGGGATGGAATTGACTATCGAGAGAATTGTACAAGAAGGAGAACCTAAGGGGTTATACCCCACATTATCTACCCCACTACAGCCTACCCACGAATATAACATATGCATATGTTTGACACACCCCCATAGGCAAAGTGGGGGAGAGCAAGAGGTCAAGAAAAGCAAAACAAGCTCAGGGTGGATCACAACGTCACCACACACACTGACCACAAGCAAAAGGCCACAGGGCCAGTTCACATGCACATGTATATATGCAACAAGAACAGTACAGTGATCTCTACCTAGCAAGAGCAAGCATGCAGGTATATGTATATATAGATCACAGTACAAGCAGAGTCTACAGCAAGTGTGGAAACGTAGGCACAAGGCCCAACTAAGTACAAAAACGCTGATCACCAGACGAAAGTGCCTTGGTGAATATATCAGCAGTGTTGGCCCGAGTGGTCACGTGAGCAAGGCAAAGCTGACCCCGATGCTGCAAACCTTGAGCCAGGAAGTAACGCAGAGCGATGTGCTTCGTTCTGTGCTCCAGTCTGTGCTCCTCACACAAGGCAATGGCCGCCTTGTTGTCGACGTACAGAACTGGAGGAGAACGAGGCCTCTCTCCCAAGTCGGTCAGCAGGTAGGTGAGCCAGCGTAATTCATGAGCAGCCATGGCTGTGGCGTAGATCTCAGCCTCACAACTGGAGCTGAGAACAGAAGACAAGCGAGTAGAACACCAAGAAACTGAACCGGAGCCAAGGCTGAAGGTGTAACCCTGTGACGACCGCTGTGTAGCCTGGTCGTCAACCCAAGAAGCGTCTGAGTGCCCAGTGAGGACAACTGGACTCCGCCCTCCAAGCACGAGCCCCATGCCCGATGTACTGCACAAGTAGCGCAGTACCCTCTTAGCAGCATCCATGTGCACCTTTCAGTGCCAACCAGGAGCCATATAGCGAGCCAGAAGGCCAAGAGGGTACGCGAGGTCAGGACGAGTGCAGGTCATCAGGTAGATGAGGCAGCCAACAAGCTCTGGGTAAGGACCACTCGGCTCTACGGACTCGTCCGAAGGTGGAGCTGAGAGCGAGTGACCTGTAGCCAGAGGAGTGGCCTGTGCCGAGGACCAGGTGAAGCCGAAGCGCTGAAGGACCTACTGCACCATGTGTGACTGAGTCAGTGTGATAGTGCGGTGTGCTCTGTCCCGGGTGATCTGCAAGCCAAGGTAACTGCGCAGCTCACCCAGGTCTGTGCACGTGTGTCTCTTCTGCAGCTCCGACTTCACCAGGGCGAGAGCCTCAGTGTCAGCAGTGGCAAAGACCAAGTCGTCGGCGTACACGAGGATGTAGAACGGCGGTAGCGAAGTGTCGTTGCGCAGAAACATCGACGGGTCAGCAGTCGACGGAGCAAACCCAAGAGCCACAAGCGTCGTCCTCAGTGTGTCGTGCCACTCATGTGGCGCCTGGCGGAGACCGTAAACCGGCCGCCGGAGGCTCCACTGGGTACCAAGAGGGAACGACCCAGTGAAGCTAGGCGGGCGGCGCAGCCAGATCTCCTCGTACAGGCTGCCCTGTAAGAAAGCTGTGCTGAAGTCAAGAGTGTGAAGCTCGTAGTCACGCTGAGTGGCAACGTGCAGCAACGCCCGAAGAGTAGTCATCTTTGGGGTGGGAAAGAAGGTGTGGAAGAAGTCAACTCCCTCTCGCTGACTGAAGCCTCGAGCAACGTAACGTGCCTTGAAGACAGGCGGTGAACCTGGCGGCCGCTTCACCCTGAAAATCCACATTCCGTCGACGATGTTCGCCCTGGGAGGGGGAACCTCATCGACGTACGTGCCTGTGGACTTCCAGGATGCCATCTCTGCATCCATGGCTGTCTGCCACTGAGAAGAGTACTCACCCGCGATCGCCTCAGCGTAAGAGCGCGGGGTCGGGATATCTGGAGCATCCGGGTCTCCCTCAGGGGCAAGCAGCATGGCCACGAGATGAGGCGTAGCGGCTGCAAGACACTCAAGGTCCTCGTGCCTGTCCTCAAGGACGTCAGTGCTAAGAGCACACTCACCCCCGACAGACGGAGGACAGATATACTCAGACTCAGCAACAAGACTGCCAGCGTAGTCTAGACGACAGGCAGCAGCAAATTCGATAAGCTCAGCGACTAGGGCAGACGCAGCACTGGACTCAAACGACGGGTCAGTGACAACAGTGGCTAACAAACGCGTGACAGTAGGGTGCTCAGTACGAAACTGGTCAGACTCAGGGTCCGCAATGTTAGGCAGAGAGGACGCAGGGGGAGACGGCAGAGGAACACCTTTCGGAGGAGAGGAAGGACGACAGACTACAAGGTGGGAGCCGGGGACAGCCGGCTGACGCGGACGAGGAACACGACGACCGGAACGACCGGAACGGACAGGCGAGACAGGACGCGGCGCGGGCTCACGACGCTCAGCAATGCCCCCTGTCTGCTCTGTGTAAGGAGAAGGAGCAAGCAGCGGTGAGCTTGGCTATAACGTAAGACCAGTAGACGAAGGGAGACTGAGAACCTGGCGAAGCGCTGAGTCAGGCGGTGGCTGAGACGACGGAGATGGCGGAGCGAAGAACAGGCGCGACTGTGCAGTGCCACCAGCACCAGCAACTCCAGGACCTCTAGCAGCTCCTGTACCCTCAGCAGCTCCAGCACCTCCAGCAGCTCCGGAACCCTCAGCGCCCACTCCTCCAGGACCACCTGCACCAGCTACAGCACCCCCAGAACCAGCACCTCCAATCCCAGGGTCTCCGGCCTCAGTGCCTCCAGCAGCAGCACCCCCAGACTCAGGGTCTCCAGCAGTAGCACCCTCAAACACAGCACCTCCAGCCCCAACAGCTCCTGTACCTCCAGTAAGAGCACCTCCGGGACCAGCGACTCCAGCACCTCCAGTAGACAAAGGACCAACACCACTCCAAGCTCCAGTGACATCAGCAGAAGTACCTCCAGCAGCAGAGCCCCGAGCTCGAGAAGTGCGACCCTGACGGCGACCGTACCAGTTGTGCAGCTGCTGTGAGGTGAGCGGCACACGCGGACAAAGGCGGCTACTCCAAGGAGACCGCGTAACAGCAGTCTTAGAACCCCCAGACTCAGGGTCTCCAGCAGTAGCACCCTCAAACACAGCACCTCCAGCCCCAACAGCTCCTGTACCTCCAGTACGAGCACCTCCGGGACCAGCGACTCCAGCACCTCCAGTAGACAAAGGACCAACACCACTCCAAGCTCCAGTGACATCAGCAGAAGTACCTCCAGCAGCAGAGCCCCGAGCTCCAGAAGTGCGACCCTGACGGCGACCGTACCAGTTGTGCAGCTGCTGTGAGGTGAGCGGCACACGCGGACGAAGGCGGCTACTCCAAGGAGACCGCGTAACAGCAGTCTCAGAACCTTGAGGTGTCGCACCCGAAGACTCAGTACCCCCAGGCTCCTCTCGCGCAGGCTCAGCACCCCCAGATGCAGCACCCCCAGGCTCAGGACCTCCAGGCTCCTCACGCGCAGGCTCAGCTCCTCCAGGCCCCGCACCCTCAGGCTCCTCACGCTCACGCTCATCATCCCCAGACTCCGCACCCCTAGTCTCAGCACCTCTTGGGTCCTCACGCTCAGGCTCCGCACCCCCAGGCTCAGCACCCCCACGCTCCGCACCCCCAAGCTCCGCACCCCCAAACTCGGCACCCCTAGGGACAGCACCACCCCCAGCAGGACCTTAGTCACCAATGACCTCAACAGGCGCAGGCATGGGAGGGTCTACCTGAGAGACACCTGAAGGAGCAGGACCTGGCGCAGGGAGGGGGTCTACCTGGGGAGGACCTAGGGCGAGAAAGATATGCGGGGGGGGGGGGGGGGGGCGAGGGGCAGTGCGGTAGGGAAAGAGACGGTAAAAGGGAACAGACTCGTCAAAGGTGACGTCCTGAGACGGAAAGACACGGCGCGAGGCGGGGTCGTAAAACTGCCAGCCATGTGCGTCAGGGACAAAGCCAAGGAAGACGCAGGGAATGGCGCGAAGGGAGAGCTTGTCCGCGGTGGTATCGCGGACAAAGGCACGAGCACCCCAGACCCGGAAATGCGACGCATCGCCAACCTTCCCTGTCCACAGCAATGTGGGCGAGGTCTCCGGGAAGGAGACACGGGGCTAGAGGTTGAGCTGATGCGCGGCGTACCGGACCGCAAACGGCCACAGAAAATGGGGGGCAGCCGCATGGATCATGG